TCCCTGGTGAGTCATGTATGACTTTTGGCAAATTAAAAAAAAAATCTTTCAATCCAAATTTAAAGTGTTCCTATGCAAAACCTTTTTCTTATACACTTACTCGGTCCCTTGGTGGGGATGGGAAAAAAATAAGCATTATTTGATATTTTATTTACATTAGATGGTAAATTAAAAAAATTGGACATTGGGAGTTTTAAGCACATGAAAGTAAATGTGGGAAGTACATCAGGAGAAGACACAGAGTTTCGGAAACACGTTGAACAGACAGGCAGTGCAACGCAGGGTTGAATGCTCAGTCACGGCGTCATCACATGCAGACGGGGGTAATAATCGTCGCTAGGTGGAGAGTTGTTTTAGAGATTAAACATATAAATAATGACAAATGTTGATTAAAAGGAAGAGGACAGGAAGAAATCTAACATGCAAACACTTAAAAAAGAGATATTGGGTCATTATATTAATATCAACTAGAGTAGATATTATGTTAAGAAATGTTACCAGGGATAAAGAAGAACATTACACAGCAATCCTAAATGAATATGTACCTAAAAATAGAGATTCTGAGTACCTAAACATTAGTTACAACTGAAAAGTGTATAAATCCTCACCTCAATTGTAGTTTGCGATTTATTTATTTATTTATTTTTTGAGAGATTTTTGCCATAGGTAGTGTGCACTCACCAGAGAGACAGAGAGAGACAGAATTTAGAAATCACCCACCAGGGAGGATGGTCACACTGCAATCCCTTCTCCTCCATTCTCCCCTCGGGAATTTGGGCATGCACACACACAGCCCCGGGGTGTTTTATGCCACTGAGTCCAGGACTAGAATTGCGATCCTACTCTGCAGGAGTCCAGCAACGTAACCATTTCGCCATCTGCTGGCCCCTACTATTTCAACTCTTCTGTCTTAGTAATTAATGGAGCAAAGAGACAGAAAATTAGTAAGGCTGTAGAAGGCTGAAACAATATAAGCAATTTGGTGTGTTTTACATTTATAGAAAACTCCATGTGACAATGCCATACCTAATCTTTTTAAGTGAATGTGTAACATTCATCAGGATAAACCATATTTGAGACTGCAATACAGTGAACATAACTGGTTTGAAATAAAAGAATATGGGGCAGCAGATGGTGAGGTGGTGAAGGCATAGACTTCCACATGGCTGACCGCAGTTCGATTCCTGGACCTGGTGACTTGCTTTCTCACTCTCTCTCTCTCTCTTTCTCTGTTTCTTTCTGGTGAGCTCACATGCTTGATAGCAAGTTAAGTAATAACATAAAATTAAATAAGAAATCATTCTTAAAAAAGACATTAAAGAATATAAAGTATATTTTCCATTCAAAAAGAAGTTAAAATAGAAATCAGTAACAGAAAGAGATAGGGAAGGTCAAATATTCAAAAATGAAATGACATACTCTAAATAAAACATGGGTCAAAGAAGATATCATAAATTATAAAATACTTTAGATTGAACGAAATGGAAACCTACCATATCAGAATTTGTGGTTATAACAGCACGTGATGGGAAAATTATAGTATTAAATGCTTATATTAGAAAAGAAGAAAGACCTCAAATTAAGGATTCAAACTTCAATTTTATTTATTTATTTATTTATTTTGGGAGATAAGTTTCTACTATAGGCACATGTGCTTGCCAGAGAGACAGAGAAACAGAAAGCAGAAAATACCACAGTCCCTTCTCTTCTGTTCTCCTCCTAGGATCCTGAGCACACACACATGCACACACACCAGGCATGTGTTTGAAGCCACTGGATCCAGTACTTGAAATGCGTGGCTTAAACTGTGGTCGACCATGTGGGAGCACAGTGATGTAACCACTATGCCTTCTGCTGGCCCCCCCAAGCTTCAGTTTTAAGAAACTAGAAAGAAAGAGCAAATGAAACAAAAAATAAGCATAAGAAAGAAAATTAGAAAGCAGAAAAAAGGAAAGAAAAATCAATAGAATCCAATCCTACATTTTCCCAAAGATCAATGAAATGGATAAAACTGTAACAAGACTGACAGAAATAGAGAAAATGTATTCAAATTAGGGCTAAAATAAAGGACATCACTACAATTCCTACAGATTTTTTTTTCAATTTTTAAAAAATTTTATTTATTCATTTGTTTATTTTAATTTGACTAGAGAGAGACAGAGAAAGAGAGATAGAGAGAAAGTGAGAAAGCAAGCCACCAGGTCCAGGACTTGAACCATGGTCGACTCTGTGGGAGTGCCTAGCACCTTAACCACCATGCCACCTGCTGGTCCCCCCTACAGATGTTTTTAATAAGAGAATAATAGAGAAATACTATAAAAAATTTTTTTTCCAATGTATTTGAAAACTTAGGTGAACCATGAAAATGTCTTTGAAATCACAAACTACCAAAGTTCACTCGAAAAGAAACAGAAGGGTGAAGAAGGTCTGTCGGAGTTCAGGACTCTGGACAGGTGCTGTTTGGGCCAGTGGCAGATGGTGGGCTGCTGGGGTTGCAGCTGAGGACATCCTGTTGTTTGGGCATTTCCCCTCAGGCTCCCTACACTGCGAGTACTGCCAGAGAGTCTCACCATGGGGGTGCACCGTTCAGTTGCCCTAGAGGAAGCTCCTGAATCTAGCACTTTGGAGGTAGCCAACGTAAGTAAGGAAGAGAGAAAACAAAAGTTCTTGAGATTTGTGGCCACAGGAAATAAAGAATATTCTGGTTGTCTTGTTATAGATCACAAATCAACATCTCACTTCTGACCAGGGGAGGAGATGAAGA